ACTTTACGCTTAAGTTGTGATGAACGGTCCAATTTTCAAGAGACTCGCGTAAAGCCCACACAGGGAGCACCGCTCATTTACATAATAGGATGATTAAAGGGTAGTGATGTTGCCCCACAGAAAATTATACCGCCATCTTACTCGAGAAAATAACCTTTTTTATAATGCAGGCTGGAGAGGCACAGCTTTAGTATCTATTCAGGAGTAAACACACAATGAACTCCAGGAGAACAAAGACAAATTGGGTATTTGCAACCAATATTACCGTTAATTACCTGATTTGCAAATATATAAATAAGAACTAGAAAGACCTCCAGTGACCTACACTTGCTTGCCATACCTCACTTAAAGAAAAAGAAAGACAGGATTATTGTCAACTCCGCTAACAACCAGGTGATTCCTGCTTACTGGACATTAACACTTGTATATCTTCTGATTTTTAAAAGGAATAACACACCTTAGGTATTAAAGTAAGTGACAACACTATCCCTTTGTTTGTTGCAGATCTGATTTCATAAAACACACCTGGTTAAATATGTTATATCTCAGTATTCATCTGGTAATAAAGCAGTCATATTAATCAGATTTGGCCGTTCAACGAATAGACAGACAGGTATTCAGCATAGTTCTTATCTATAACAAGATTTAATGGAGATATGCTTGGGACTAGGTTTAGCATGTAAATGTAGCTTAGCTTGGTTGTGCAAAGGCATTGTAATCTATAGGCATTGCATGCATTAGATTCAGACACATTCTAGATGAATATGGCCTTCCTTTGCTTCCCTTTTAAATAATTTTCACCTTAAGATGAATCTTAAGTGCTTCCATTGGTGGGAACGAGACAATTTTCTGTAAACAGACCTACTGTAAGGAGTGTATTTTTCACACTGAAAATCCTTCCTTGTGAGATAAAGGCTGAATAACGGCTTTATGTAAATGAGGTGTGAGTGTCTTTTAACTGGAAATACTAGCTGAACACGCTGTGCTGGACTACAGAACATGCCACGCTCGTGCATACACTATGTCTTCAGGAAAACACTGCCACAATCAAAGACAGGGCACAGGAGAGGTTTTTTAAGACAAGTGTGTGTGTGTGTGTGTGTGTGTGTGTGTGTGTGTGTGTGTGTGTGTGTGTGTGTGTGTGTGTGTGTGTGTGTGTGCGTGTGTGTGTGTGTGTAAGACAGAGAGAGAAGAGAATGGTAGAAAAGAAAAATGAATTTTGACAGAAAAAAGAATCAAGGAGAAAGAGAAAATGACAGAGAAGAAAGGGTACTGTGTGTGTGTGTGTGTGTTTGTGTGTGTGTGAATTGTAGAGCCTGAGCGTAAATCTGTGGATGGCGTGGTTTTAACGAGTCTCCTAATGACCCAAACAACCCCTGCTGACATTTACAGTCCTTGCCAGAGGGGGGGGGGCAGGGGGTGAGTGACCCCACACACACACACACACACACACACACACACACACACACACACACACACACACACACACACACACACACACACACACACACACACACACACACACACACACACACACACACCACACACACACACACACACACACACACACACACACACACACACACACACACACACACACACACACACACACACACACACACACACACACACACACACACACACACACACACACACACACACCACACACACACACACACACACACACACACACACACACACACACACACACACACACACACACACACACACACACACTTACTTTCTGTCTCTTAAGAATGACACATATTTGCTTTCTTCTTTTTTGGTTAAAGGGTATAATGACCACCACACACCCACGCTGTCTCTTTCTTTCTCACACACATATACACACAGACACACATATACACACAGACACACGTACGCACACATATACACACAGACACACATATACACAGGCTCCTTTAATTTTTACATTCTCTCTTTTCATCTTCTTTTACTGCCTCCCTTTCATAATCCGCCTCTGCCCATACAGACATAACATTCACTTAACTGCAGACTCCACGTAAGCCTGCCCTGTCTTACACACACAAAAATGAACACACACACACACACTGAATGTGTTGAATTTATATGTCTGCAGAAAACTTCAGAGCAGAGGAGCCACATATTTCATCTGAGCTGAGGGGCACCGGCAGGGAGTGTGTGGTCAGTCAATACAGAGGGGAGAATAACTTACAGACACACACACATACACTCACACACATACACACAACCTCTGTTCTTTGTCATCAGTCTCTCAAATGGGTCAACTTAGCCTCTCAAAACTTTCCCTTCAAAGTTGGGAAATGCCACCAAAAGAAATAAACAACGCTGCGCCTTTACACAACATTATGGGGGACCTAATGGAAACACAGAATATCATCGTGTACACATGCACACTCACACAAGAACTCAAACAAATACAGAACAGGGGGTGACTTATTCAAGAGAATGTCTCCAAAACATGCGTACGATTGGCCGGTCATCACATTTTTAGATGACAGTTCAATAAAACAGTTTTGTAATAGTAATAAGGCTTTCCAAATGGCAGCATATGCACTTTAAATGTGTATTTACACTAGTGCTGTAAACGTTCAAGGGCACCTGCTAATGTCTGACCCTGAAACTGACACACACAAACAGAAAACACAGACCTCAGTGACAACTTTGCCCAGCGCTGTGGCTGCCGAGGGGAAATTGTGCCATCTGCCAGTAAACGACATCATTTTATCCCCACTGCTCGTCCATCTGTGGACGTGGGGAACTCCCCTGGAGGCCATGGGGCCGCGGGGAGATGGGGGAGACGGGGGAGGCAGAGACAAGCCGGAGATGCCCACCAGGCACAGAAACTGCTGTATGTGGGCTTTACAGCCATCTTTATATCCTGACTATAAAGACAAAGCACAAGCTACTGAAGGATATAAAAAGATAATGTGAATGCTAAAGCTTAAGAAAAATGTGTTTTTTGTTGTCAGAGTCAGACAATGAGATGACATATCAAGGGTTTCCAAGAAATTAATCTTATACAATTATTCCTTCTTGCCAAACTTGAAGAGGAACATTTAGTTAAAGGTGTCAAATTAGATTTGCATTAGCTTTAATCTAATTCCTTTTAGATTCATTCTTCCCATTCTGTTTATTATGTATCCGTGGTCATACGGGAATCTCTATCACATCAAAGATGGACGACACTGAGAAAATTAGGTTTTAAAATGAGGTTTTAAGCATCACAGAGATCTAAAAAACACCAGGAGACGTCTCTGATTGAAACATGGCCGTGCATCATGCATGTTATCACCTGACCTCATCCTCTTCACATCAATGAATCATCACACCTTGACATGATACACATTAGCAACTTGAAACAATATATTTTTCAGAGCAGCATGCCCAGGCTGCATTGGCCGTGTCTGCATGCAGCGCAGGTAGACAGAAGATCACAGCCTAAACACCCGCCACCCCGAGGGGCTTAAAAAAAACCACTCTGTGCTTTTTGGATGATGCTGAGCATGATTTGCTGCGAAGGCTCTCAGCAGGGAAGGCAATCAGGCAGAGAGAATCACAACACGTCTAAAGTAGCGTTTTGGTTTTATATGAGGGAGGACAGGGGGGCACACAGAGGAGGAATTCACACACAGGTACAGAGCTGTCAGATCAGCCTAAAGCAGAGCTGAGAGTAATTCTTTCTGGGCATAGCCACGTCAAAACTGAAGACAAAATGCAACCCTTTCAAGACTATGTGATATTTAAACATTCCTTCCAAAGCTGGGTTAATTATGCTTTTTTTCGCAAAGCCAATACCAAATCCTTACAATGCAGAAGCCTACAAGTGATTCCAGGTCTTTTTTTTCTTGTTCTAGGTGTTTTCTAGGTTGATCTTGAGATATTTTTGCATGCAAGTCTCAGTCTGCTCATCTCTTCAGGTAGTTAAGTCAAAGTAAGTCTAGCGTAACAGCAATTAGGTCAAAGTCAAGTCCAAAGTCCCCAAATCGGCGTCTCAAGTCGTATTTATAGCCCTGATAGTAGTACTTGCTCATTCACACACTTGCAAAAGACAGTTGAGTCTATCCATAAAGTGCCCGGCTCTTCGTGTTTCTTAATGCATTGTTAAGTGTGTCAAAGACTTCAAAAGAAAAAGGAACGAAGGGGATAGGGAAACACTTTGCTAATGCCTAAAAAAAAAACAGGAGAAGATTACTATGCTGTGTTAGTTTTTATGAACAATATGCGGAGATTAAAGCAAATACAGTCAAAGTTTGCTTTGGACTGATTTCTCCGCCTCGAGAACAAAGAGGGAAAATCGCACTAAGCTCAGCGAACCAAAAACAGTCCAATTAAATCCTTGTCGTAAAAAAAGAAAAGAAGAAAGACTGCGCTACATTCGTAAAAACAATAAATGTGCCTTTTGAAATGTCCCTATTTGAAGTGACTAAGTGCAAAGCGGACTTGAGAGGGGAATTCTTCTGAGCTGCGTTTTTGTTGTTGTGCTACAAGAAAAGTGCCGCTTTAAGTTTTATTTTCTTACTCGTGTGAGAGAAATGACGCTTGTTCTTTCTGAATAAAAGTTTAAAACACAAAGATATTCAGCTCCCAGTGGTGTAAAACTGAGCAAAGCAGCAATCCTCACATTGCAGAGGCTTAACACTGTCAATATTTGGCCTTTTTGCTCGACAAATGACAAATGATTAATCAACTAACTGATTTCAATGCTCAATGACAAGTGATCAAATTCTTCAGGTTTGTTGAATTCTTATGGACTTTAAAAGAAAGCCGGCGAACAGCTATGACTTTAACACTTATTTGCTTTCTGAATGTACAGGCCAAAGCCGAATGTTGTGCCATTTTGTCCAGAAAGTTGTCAAATTGCTTGAAATAGCAATTTGACAACTTTACAACGCTTGAAAGTGTTTTCTGGTGACCGTGTACTAATCATTGGATATCCCTAAACACAATAACAGGTGTTTTTTCAGCAGTGGTGAGAAACTGATCTTGTGTCATACCTGTGGGCAGAGCGGTGGGCAGCCGGGCCGGAGCGACGCACAGAGGCAGGAGGCAGGAAATCCAGAGTGAGCACCACAGAGCCGTCATCCCTCTAGAGGACGAGGTGAGACGCAGAGCAGCCAGGCCCGACTCAGACGACATCCTCCAATCGCATGCTGTCCAGCAGAAGGGCAGCCTCCAACGCCGCAAGAAATGATCCAACAACTCCCCGTCACTGACCTGGAAAACAACAACAAACATCATGATATTCTGGCTCGGATTTGTCCAAGGTTGTACATGCAATCAACTCTGAAAAATGTAAATTGTAAATTGAACACAGTACAAAGAAGCGCCTTGGGGTCTACTCTGCACACATGCTACCATATTCTGACCTGACATTCCTCACAGATTTCAGGGATTACAGTGGAAATCCCTCTTCGCAGATTTTCTCGGAAACTTTCTCGGAGCACCTGATCGTTAAGATGCTTGGATTGGCTCTCTGATATTGGAAAAGCTTGAGAAACCGTTTGTACCGTGCACTCAGTCGGGGAATACAAGTTCATTAAAAAATCCATTAGCTTCGCTGCAACAGGATTAGCTGAAGAGTGAGAAAGATCACTTTATAACAGACCTCAAGAGCCTGTCATTCCTTCTACATTACTCTTTTCTGCTTGAGATACTCTTCTGCATGGTTTAGCAACCGATTGACATGGATTTCACTGATCTTCCTGCAGGATGAGGAATGCCGAAGTCTACAGTATCAGTTGCCCAACGTGCCCGGCGGCTGGCTGGCAGCAGGAGGGAGCGTGACGGCTAAGGAGATCGACGGCGGAGTGCACTGCTCTGTTTGCTTAAGCAGGGAGAAGCTGGAATGCACTGAGGATCGAGGAGAAAGCCCTAAGCGAGGTGCCCAGAAAGGCAAAGCACACACACACACCAACAACTGTTAGATTAAACTTTAGCGGCTCTGTCCAGCTTCAGAATAGCGTTGGCTGTGAGGCGTCCACCCCGATGAAAACAGACGCACAGGTTTGGCAAACACACGCGCAAACATTTCAGAGTGGGGCTTTGCTTCAGCACACAGAGGTGTATTGTACACACACACACAGTCCACAGAAAGGTTGTGTTGTCTTAAGTCTTAACAGTACTGTTTTTCTTTCTCTCTGAGGACCTGTGACCCACTCCTTGCTCAGCACAAACTGAGGCCTGGCTCTGTTTGCACATTATCGCTCTCCAAACACAGAAAACACCGACTGGGGGAACTTCACAAGACACATGTGAATTCATAAAGGAGTGCAGACACACACAGAGTGTAATCTAAACACTGCACCTATCAGGCTTCAGCATACTGCAGCCTTTTATGTTCTTCACTGCGCTCCTCTTCTCCTCTCGGCCCATCCTCAGCCTCTTACAACAGCAGACGCCTACACGCTGCTGCAGTTTGTTTATACAGCACGATAAGGCCTTCGCTCTCCGGGCGTGGAGGTAGCTGATTGCAGGCCTCACCGATTTGAAACTTTTGTTTTCTCTGGCAAGCACAGACATAGACACACATAACAAAAAAAATCTCAGCTTTTTTTACAGACACTTGACTTCGAGAGCTGACAAAGTCTCTGGAGTTGTTTTAAGTCAAGGCACAGATGTGTTTAGACAAGCATCGTGACAGACTCTCAAGCCATGTGAGAAGAAACTGGAAAACAATACGGGCTGTTAGATTGACTAATTTGGTGACAGGTAATAGTGGAGACTACCTTGTGAACAAAGTGAATCATTAAGGAGCAGCCAAGCGTTGCAACATGATTGATAGCGTGAAACTGGAACAAATTAAATCCAGTGTAAGCGCAGTAGGTAATAAATGCCCTTTCTTGACAAAACGGCAACCTTATATGCTTGAGTATTTGAAATATTGGGTGATGAAATTCAACCGAGAACATTTTCAAACAAAGTGGACATGCCAAAGATCAGGAATTAAGTTTTAACGGACTCTGCAGCCACTTTGATTTCACTTAACAACCTCAGAAAGCAGAGAAGAAGAAGAGGAGGCGGTATGGATCCCAAAGACCCAGCGAGGAGTTCAAAGCCTGTAAAGTGTTTTCATGCTAATATTTTCTTAAAGCATGAAAGGGAAACACTACCACGGCTATACATAATAAATGAACATTAATCATGCAGTACTATCCTCACATTGTAATAGCTCCGAGGCAGAAAAATGCTTTAACCGGGGTTCAAATCCCTGTCATCCCTCTCCCCTGTGTGAGGATCAATGCAAGGCGGTCACATACTAGTCACACTTCTCCAGAGTGTCAGGAATCTTTAATAATTAAGCCGGAGAATCAACAGCCGGGGCAGGATCGACTTTGTCATTTTGGGAAAAGGGGGATTAGAGGTTTTTGGGAGAGCACAAGTGCAAACAGCAGCCGGTCGGAGGGCACATGGGTAGGAATGAGAGATAAGACAGATGCACAAGTGGGTAATCTTCCATATCAGTGCCTCCTTATTCTTCTTCTACTCCTGTATTAAAAGTTATCCTACTTATCTGCTTGTCACCCTCTCTTTGCCTTTATCACACACCACCACCCTTTTTCAAAACACACCCTAAGGTGAGAGGAGATATTGATCAGCACGGAGACAGACAGAGCTCTGCATTTTAAAGCTGTCGGAGATACAGAGAGACTCCGGGTGTAAAGCTCACCTCGGGCTGTCACTCAGACGGGCGGCGTAAAACAGATAGTAATGTAGCCTGACACTGCACATGTAAATGACTACACCCGTCCCAACATTTGTCCTCTGGATGAAACCGAGGATAAAGGACACTTTAGTACTTCAGAGTATGTAGAAAAACAGGATAATTTGGACACTTAGTGCTTAAGAAAACTCTCTTTGAGACTACATTGTGCACATTCCAGCAGACACCATGGGGAATTTAAAAGTTATAACATATAATGAAGTTTATATATATGGTTTTATCTGCCTCAGACACTTTATAAGACCTTGAAGGGTTATTACTGAAGCTATATGGAGAGAAGGGAAAACCATTAACAGCTCCACTGTGAATTTATCTTCAATGTTACAGGCGCAGCGTGAATACATACATAATTTACAACTTTTAAGGTATAAAATACTTACAATTAGGCCCAATAAAGTGCATTATTTAGTATCAGAGACATATTCCTACAGGTATATAATAAGATAAATCTGCTAAAGGACAGATAAGGTTACTGCTGAAACACTTTTTATTGGAATATTACAGTGAATTAGTGTTTGAGAATGAAAAAGATTAGCCGGTCTGATTAAATTAGACAAGTTGGTTCTTTTCAAATGCACTTCTTCCCTCTTTATAAAAGAGGTACCCAAAACTCCACGCAGAGGGATGGTCCCAGGCCAATTTGAGTAATGAAAAGAGGCAATCATAGTTTCATTTGGAGCCCAAATGTGTCTGCGGCTGCCTCTGATTGAAAACGCTGCAAACTGGCATGCATTACTCGGGTCAATAGATGCAATTAATTTGCAGCATTAGCCAAACCATTATGATCTGCACTCTTGTTGTTTATGGCTCCCGATATTTAATAGGCTCAAGCAATGCAAGTCCCAAATCTCATTTCAGACCCCCCCCCCTCCCCAATGCTATAATCCTGTAATTTTCACCGGTTGAGGGTTTGACATGATGGGAGTCAAAGCTGAGCTGAGTGGCCAAAATCACCATCTGAATCCCATTGAAGAGCATGTGTTTGAAGAGGGGATGACTGATCTGCTGCTGAAGGAAAGAACCGCACAGTTCGTTCATTCAAAGGGAGGTGGAGGGAAAAAAGGTGCTGCTTTCTGGAGAAAGTTCAGAGATGATCAGAGGCATTAGGAAGAGCGGCTCTGTGAAAGAGGCTGATGAGTAATTCATATTTCTGCTGCTAACCAGAGAACACGTCACTGTTGCAGCGAGGAGAAAAGGCGTGTTCGTCCTAACGAGCAAAGGATGGCGATGAAAGTCAATATTTGACTTTTTGACAGTGAAATTATACAGTCGGTTTGATAGACGAAACATTGAAACCAAGCTTTTAAGTTGCGCATCTAATGGATATCCTCAAATCATTATGGAAAGATAACTCGTGCGTAATTTCACAATTGATGATTTTACACGTTTTCCCTTAGTTTTAGTTTCTAGAACTGAAAAGAGGAGCGTAAAAAAAACCACATTTCAATTAAAAATCTTCAAGCAATTTGATTTTAATTTTAAATGAGCAGAAGGGCTCCAACAATTGCCAGTTCCAGAGTCTTTATCAGTCCTGCAGCGTGCGTAATTTCACTATCCTGCGCCACACACAGAGCAGCCTGCATTAATAAGACAATACACAGAAACCTGTGCGCGCCTTCTCCAAACCAAGGTAGGCTAATATAAATACGCACAGAAAACTCCGTCTGCATACAAGGACCGATTGCGCACAGACCGGGACCAGGCAAGTTGTTCAAGCGGCAGCACCTGTGCTATGGTTCGGACCGTGGGGCTGTTCCTAAAGCTCCACGCTGGCTCACACGCACTGTACACACTCCTTTATACCACACGGCTGCTTTACGCTGAGAGACTGGATGGCTCAACCTGTCTGACTCACACATCTACAAGGAAGTGGAAATATATATTTCATTCCTTAGAGAAGCTGCAAGTGTTGTTCACGAATAATAATAGCCTAATATTAATACAACTAATAATAGGCTAATAACAATAATAATAAAACACTTACCCAAATTATCACGTTTTGTATCCAAAATCTCCGTCTTTCAGATCTCACCAAGCATTCAGAAGAAGAAAACCAGGCTTTATTCTCCAGTAAACTTTATAAAAATCCACAAAACTACTTTAAAATCCGTTATTCCCCGAGCTTTGGGGAGAAGTTTGGCGACAGTGGAGGGGAAAAAAAGTCAGAAATCCCTCTCACGACTTGACAGCGAGAGTCCTCGGCTCGGGCACCGCCGCAGAGAAAACCAACTTCTCCACTAAATCCTGTTCTACCCTGCGCGCTGCTGTCCAAAGTGTCCAAACCTCCAGAGCGCGTTCATCCTGCGGTGCACCGGGCAGTGTGTATGTGTGTGTGTGTCGGACGCAGTGAACAGGGACACTCGCTCGGATCCAGCGCGGATGCCAGTCGGTGTGTTTCGTTGCCTCGGATCAACCAACTCGGACTGGTGGCTCTCCTCCGCCGGCTGCCTGTGAAGTAGGAGCTGCCGTCAAGAGAGAGTTGCTAGGAGACAGGAGGAGTTCCGGTTTTAACCTTCAAAAATAAAATACGAGCTGGTGAAGTAGTGACGCAATGCTTTGCCTTATACTGGAGAAATGCCAAATATATTTGAAGTGGAACATGTAGAAAACACAAAATACATTTTAACACAAATTTAAAATTTGAAACTTAAAATTGTGTATTGTATTTTATAGAAAAGCAAAAATCATCACGATATATATTTTTCAAAGCAATTTGTTGGTAGGCTACTGTTCGTTTACAAATGTGCAAAAAAAAAAGTATGTGAAAAAAACACGAAACTTAATAAGTGATTGCTTCATTAAATAAAAGCCATAGCTTACATATAATAAAATAAGCCTCATTCACATGCATCGCAATTAAGCCATCAAGAGGAGTCGCATACTCGAATTGTGCCACGCAGCCATTCAGAACATAGCCTAATTTTATTTTGAAGGCTCCTCTGGTTTTCATTGTGTGTATGCGTGTGTTTCATACTTGACGCTCCTCTCCAGTCTCGGTCCGGGATGCCTCCTGCCTACGCGCTACGCCGGGACACACAGCAGCAGAGGGGGGGGAGATCAGATTTTTGTGCGGCGCTCCTCCGGGGCCGCTGGAGGCAGCAAGACACGGCTGCTCCAAACGCCACCTGACCCAGCTCCATTTTTTTGGTCCAGAAAAACTAAGTCAAGCGAGGCGTTATTGCAGAAATCCAAAACTGCTGAATGAACATGAATACAGTTTTCAATCTTTACAGTGAGTGTTGGCCAATGTTGGGTGTGGGAACCACAAAGGGGACCTGGAGAAGCTCTAGGTGGTCTTAGCTTTTAATGCCAATCTGAGGAGTAGACTATACAGCCTAGAAGGTCTAGAGATATTGTGAGGAGAGAACTCGCATGTCTCTTTGGTTATCTTCATGGGCGCCATTAAAGGATAAAACCCAGGAGGACTCAGGGGCCCGGCGCTGCACAGGGGCCCTGGAACATGTCATGGATTAGAGATCGTGTGTGTGTGTGTGTGTCAGAGCTGTTTTTGAACTTTTCCCTTATGGAGACGCTTATCACCCCCCAGAATATTAACAGACAATTAAAATCAGTGACCGAAGTTTCCAAATAAAACTTTTCTTGCACCATGTTTGTGGCTCTGATGGATAAGAGTGTGTGAAATTCGGATATGTTTTTCCAAAGGGATATGACAAATGTCGACACCTCTTTCTGTGAAATAATAGTTATAGTTTCTGTAACCAACAATGCTTAGAGGACAACTGGAAAGACTCAAATAAAAGTAGCTTTTAAGTCTTCTGAAATGAAAAAAAATAATGAATCAAAAAGTTTAGGCATTTAAAAAAGTCTGGCCAACTTTGTCAAACATTATTCTATTTAATCGAATGATGTTCACCAAAATAGTCTGATAGTTTCTCGTGACCTCTCTAATTGGTCAAATGCTGTCCTTATTGAACATCTAGTAGTGAATAACTGTTACTGTTTTCAAATGCTACAAATAATTGTTATCAGTTAATTGCTCAAACTGTTAACGTGTAAATGATGTTATTGTTTCCAGTCAAACGGCCTTTTAGTAATCAGCTCAAAGCAATGTTTGACCAGTGAGCCCTAAAGAGTGCTGAGTGAACAGTAAATTACCATTAACCACCCGTTTATTCTGCCATATACTTCAGCCTAATTACTGCTGTCAGGACAGAGGTGATAGCTGCTTTAAACAACACCAATTACCCTCATCTCTTAAATTGTGTTTTGAGAAGGCAACTTTATGATGCCATAAAGCGGAGCAGCCCTCTGCTAAGTGACCGAGGAGCTGGTGGAGTGTGCCGTCATCCGTCTGTGTTTGTCCAGGAGAGTTTGTCCCTCACTATGAGCTGTGACAATCCACGTCAACACGTCATAAATAACAATACAAGGAAGAACATTGTCAGGTGGAGAGATCTATTTATTTTATAAAACTGTAAATTGAAATTCTTAGAGTTTTTAATAGTTTTTCAGACAAAACAAATACCCCACATTGGGCTCCGGGAACTTGTGATGGGCATTTATTTTTACTCTTTTATAGACTGAACCACTAAACAGGACACCTCATATATGTTTATGAGGTGTGACAAGTTCAGTTAAAGAATGATTTTCTCTTCTCTACTGTTTCATTTGAATAGTTTTAGGAGGCCTGATGAGGAAAGGTAAAGTACATTTAGTCATGTAGTCAAAAGCAAATTATAGAAAAAAGGCAGAAAATTAAACTATGGTAAGATTTTCTTATTTTAGAGCCAGTTAACCATCCCCTCAGCCTATTGGGTTCATCTGGTTCATTTCTTGGACTGTGGTGGAGTGCTGGCCTCTTGAGCCCAAATGGTTCATCAGTTAATCATTAAGGTGGTACCTTCCAGTTTCACTAATACAAATAAATACCACAATGGAAATTGATTCATATTTACAGTTTAGTTTGTTTAAATGATATCATTTGGCAAACATGAGGTGTCCAAATGCTTTTTTTAGACACTAAATCCTCATCGGTGCAGCCATTCAGCTCATTCAACAACGCTGCCATAAGTGCTCTTAATTTACGGTAAATTCCTTCAAACATATCCCACTACCTACAGGGGATGGTGCTTCAACCTCATGGGGAAAGTCAATGGAGAACAACAAGCAGGTCTCATTAAAGCAAGTGAAGAAGAGGGAGAGCAGAGTGGATGATGAAGGCCAGGCCCTCGCTGACCCTTGGACTACAGTGATCTGTGAGAAACGAGGGGGGGGAACAAAAGCCAGCCGGTCAGGAGGAGAGGTCATACAGATGGTGAGAATGCTCAGTCAGACAGCTCGAGTACTGATGGGCGCGCGCACACACACGCGCACAAGGTCTCACCGACACACACACAGCACACAGCACACAACACACACCACACACACACACACACACACACACACACACACACACACTACACAAACAAACACACACACGACCCACACACACACACACACCACACAACACACACACACATCACACACACACACACACACACACACACACACACACACACACACACACCACACACACACACACACACACACACACACACACACACACACCACACACACACACACCACACAACACACACACACCACACACACACAACACACACAACACACACCACACACACACACACACACCTCCTCTCTGCACCCCCTGCAACAGCCTTACTTTTAATCAACACACTCACATACACACATTCCTCAACCCCCCACCCCACCTTGCCCTCCAGGGAACAGATCAGCAGGAGATGAAAGGTGAGATCTTGTAATTTAAAATCTAGTTAAAAATTAAACAACAACAAGACAGCCTCAGAGTTGAGTTTGATTACTAAGCTGCTTAAGAGAGGGAAACATCAATAACTTGAAATTCTCTTCAGTTTATTTGGACGGTGTAATCAGGCTGCATATTTTCACTGATAACCCCTTTAAGTAGAGTCTGGTAGCATTGACTGTTTTTCTCTTGTTGCACATTGCCTGTGTGGGCAACAACAACCGATTGACTCACAGTGGCTTTGTGGTGTACGAGGTGGACAAAAGCAGCAGGCTAATGATTAACACGAGTGATTCTGGCCGGACAAAGACGCAGCACAAAGGGAGGGAGCTGATCACTGAGGCCGCTTCACACTCCACTAGATGCTGCTCTCTGCTCTGCACGGCTGACCCAAATACAACAACTGCCGCAGTTTGTCTCTGTCGTCACACACACACAAACATACTGTATGCAAGTGGTTCCCATCACTGGGGTCGGGACCCCTTCAACAGGTCATGGGATGGGTCATGAGATGATTTAGAGAGTGATTTGTTACGCTTAAACTTTAAAAAGGTTAAACAATGCAGAATTACAGTGGATCACATCAGGAATGATCAACTGGTGGTTGACATGGGCCAATAAACACTTCCTGAATAGCTCTGACTGTAGAACAGATAATTACGAGTTACGTCAGAACTAAGTTTGAGACACTCTGCTGCTTTCTTAATAAGTGGTTCTTGACCAACTGAATCTTGTTTGCAGAGTCTGTCGGACTGGACCACATTTTGGTATTGGAGCTTTTTGGTTTCCGTTTGTAGTCTTAGTGGTATTAACCAATCACATATGAGCAGGCTTTATTTGTATGCAGGTAAATAGTCCATGTGAAGAGCTAAAGAGGCGAATGCATTGGCCGAAACGCAATCATGGAAGTTGCCCTTAGATTACATGCGATTTTCTCTTTGCTAACTGCGATGCTGGACTAGGAGCCTTGCGGTAAAAACAGCTAGTTAAGTTTTTGATGGTTACCTCACCTGCTAGCTTGTGCTAGTTGGAATAATTTACATTTTGACCACAGCAACAATTTTGAGCATGTGTCCTCTCATTCTGGACTTTTTGGCCTTCTGGTGCAGCGGAGGTTAATTATAGCACAAATTAGCCAGTCAATGTTCACCAAAGTACAACGCAAGAGTGTTTCTGGAAAACGTAATTTGATATTTTGTATACCTTATTGGCAGATATTTAATCCTAGTACCAGCAAAGGTCTCTGTATCATAGAATGTTTTTGCTTGTTGGTGGGGGATTTAGTATGTACACATATGCCAATGTTATCATTCACATATATGCATTTGATGTGTGCAAAACAACCTCAGAAGACGGGTGATCCATGGAGCCATGACAGGGGCTCCCATGTAACCACAAATTGCGATGAGCACCCACACCTCAGAATGAAATGATCTCAGCAGGTCAGAAGCACGATGTGAGCTGAGTTCTGAGCTTTGGCTCTGCGGGGGTCCAGCTTTATGTTTGTCTTGACTCACCGTCTCTGCTGGGTGTAATGGCCTCGTGATCGGAGCCTTTTGGTGGAGAGGGTAGAGAAGTGAGCCAGTCTGCCTTGTCTGGTGCAGTCGCTCCCATTACACTTCTGTTGAAGAACGCTGAGCTGCGAGTAC